TGGGACATCAGCAGATATATTCTGTTACCTTCCAGATAAGTTTAATCAAATAAAGTCCTGCCAGCAAGACACCAGGACACATGGGTTTGGGCCTCAGCTTTGCCATTAAACTCTGTGGCCTTGGAAAAGTCCTTATACCACCTGGACCTCTGGGTTTTGCTTCTCATGTTTTTTAAAAATATATATATTTTTTTATTGATTTCAGAGAGGAAGAGAGAGGGAGAGAGAGGTAGAAACATCAATGATGAGAGAGAATCATTGATTGGCTGCCTCCTGCACGACCCCATTAGGGATCAAACCCGAAATCCAAGCATGTGCCCTTGACCGGAATTGAACCCGGGACCCTTCAGTTCTCAGGCTGACGCTCTATCCACTCAGCCAAACCGGCTAGGGCTGTCGTGTTTTTAATTTGTAAAATAAGGGGTTGGACAAGATCAGTAGGTTATAAACTTCTATTTTCTTTGAGCAACAGCACCCTGTTTTCAGCACCTGCATCTATGAAGGGGTAAAAGCTGATATCTCAGGTTGAAGCTCCTGGCCTCACACCTGCTTCCCCCCGCCCCCCTCACCACTGCCTCCCAGTCCTGGTGGATTCCCAGGAGGAAAGACTCAAAGCCCCTCTCGGTTCTAGGAAGCCCAGCTCAGGAGGCAGCTGTCTCACAGCTCTACTCAGGGGGAAAGAAACCTTTTGTGCTGGGAGACAAAGGCGTGACCGGCTGGGGAACTTCCTCTCTGTTTCAGCAGAAAGGAGGAGCCGGCAGTGTGGCATTCTCAAACACAGTGAACCCCCACAGTGGTCGGCAAACTGTGGCTCGGCAAACCGTGGCTCGCGAGCCACATGCGGCTCTCTGGCCCCTTGAGTGTGGCTCTTCCACAAAATACCGGCTCTGCCACAAAATACCGACTTCTGCGCATGGGCCACGAAGTTTCAATCGCACTGTACGTGCGCACCCACACGTGGTGTTTTGTGGAAGAGCCACACTCAAGGGGCCAAAGAGCCACATGTGGCTTGTGAGCTGTGGTTTGCCGACCACGGCAGGACCTTCCTAAGCAGGTGGACCTGCAGGCCTCTGCCCCTGGTACCCCTGTTCCGCTTCCCTGGGTCTGGAGTGGGGCCAAGGAATTAGCATCGGCACGGCGCTCCGGGTGATTCTGATGCAGACAGCACAAAACCTGCATTTTGAGAAGAATCAGTGTGAAGGAGGCAAGGGACATGCAAACCAGGAGGTTGATTTCAGGAAAGAAGAGCAGACAAGTCATGGTTAAGAGAGAAGCTGAGGGAAGAGTGTGTGTGTGTGTAGGAACCACTCTTGGATCTGTGATGCCGGAGAGACAAGAAGCCAGTCATCAGTGTGTCAAAGGGCCCAGCTTAGTGTGCTGAGCCTCTGCGTCCCTCTGGGTGGGACTGCTGAAGAGCAGGCGACCGTACTTGAAATCAGGGGGCCACTTTATAAAGTATATGACTGTCTAACCACTATGCTGTACACCTGAGACGAATACAAAATAATATCAAATGTAAAGTGTAATTGAAAAATAAAATTCAATTTAAAAATACAAAAACAGGAACACCGCACAAAACGCCAAGCTGGGCTGCATGTCCTGGCAGCAATGCCAGGTGTCTCCTCAGTCTAGGGCAGGGGTTCTCAACCTGTGGGTCGCGACCCCTTTGGGGGTCGAACGACCCTTTCACAGGGGTCGCCTAAGACCATCGGAAAACACATCTATAATTACATATTGTTTTTGTGATTAATCACTATGCTTTAATTATGTTCAATTTGTAACAATGAAATTGGGGGACCACCACAACATGAGGAATGGTATTAAAGGGTCGAGGCATTAGGAAGGTTGAGAACCACTGGTCTAGGGGCTGATGGGTGTTGCCAGTGGACATTGCTGAGTAACCCCCTTCATGTGTCTTATACTAGAGACTTCCTGCCCATTCTCCTCAATAGCCAGACATTCGCCAGTTACAAAGGGCCCTAGTCTTTATAATGCCAAAGCCCATGATCCTGATGCTACACCAGCCTTCAGTCATAACAACAATGACTTCCTCAAGCCCTCACCACGCGCCAGGCCCTGCGAAGTGCTTTCAGGCATCATTTTATGTTTACAAGCACCTGTAAAGCAGGGGTTGTGAGTACCCGTCCTGCTGGTGAAGGGGCCCAAGCAGTTTGGTTCCAGATGCATTCTCTTATCTCCTGTCCATCCAATGACTCCCTCCAGATCTTCAGGGCAATTTGTTGACCTGAAAAGCTAAGGATGGCCTTGGTCTCTCAAGGTTCAGTTGTCTTCCTTCGAGTCCTTTAATAAGATTTTCTACTGTCCTTGGGTAACCAAATAATTTATCCTATAAATCAGAACACTTTCTAAGAGTGAAAAGAAACACTATTAATAACTAGAGGCCCGGTGCATGAAATTCGTGCACTGGGGTGTGTGTGTGTGTGTGTGTGTCCCTCAGCTAGGCCTGCACCCTTTCACAGTCCAGGAGCCCTCAGGGGATATCTGACTGCTGGCATAGGCCCGCTCCCCACAGGGCTTCTGGCCGTAAGCTTGGCTTCTGGCCGAGTGGCACTCCCCTTGTGGGAGCGCACTGACCACCAGAGGGCAGCCTCTGTATTGAGCATCTGCCCCCTGGTGGTCAGTGCATGTCACAGCAACTGGTCATTCTGCTATTCAGTTGATTGCATATTAGCCTTTTATTATATAGGACTAGAGGCCCGGTGCACAAAACTTTGTGCACTCGGGGGGGGGGGGGTGGGGAGGGGGGTCCCCCAGCCTGGCCTGTGCCCTCTTGCCATCTGTGACCCCTCGGGAAATAACGACCTGCTGGCTTAGGCCTGCTCCCGGGTGGCAGAGGGCACGTCCAATCCCTAGGTGCAGCCCCTGGTCAGGCTCAGAGCAGGGCCGATTGGGGAGTTGGGGCACCGCCCCGTCATGCACAGAGCAGGGCGGATCGGGAGGTTGCGATGCCACCCTCAGTCACGCTCAGGGTAGGCCGAT